GGGATGATCCCCATGTTTCTGACATGAGTATTAATGGACGCAGTGACATATTCTCAGATAGGAAATTCCAGAGGGTATGAAGATGGAAGTTTTTGTTTTCTGTGGTTGTGGTGGGTGGGGAAACATTTTAAGTTCATTTCCAAGCAAAGTGAGTTCGAGGTACTTGAGGGATATTCAGTAGAAATGGAATGTTGCTAGTTTTGCTGCATTCTGATACAGCTCAGAGAAGCAGCCTGGGTTGTAAATTAGTTGAGAATTTTATGTGTATAGATGGCAATAGGTATGAGTAAAGTTCACTTAGGTGAGTGTAGACTGAGAAGATGAAAAGAGGGGAAAAATGTTTTGAGAAATGTCAACTATTAGTGATTGATTAGGGAAGGCTAGGCTGAGAAGGACTGACCTGAGAGACTGGAAGAAAACAAAGAGGTTATTTGTCATGGAAACCTGAGGTAGAAAATGTTTTATTAGGTAGGCCACGTAAGTTTGGGACTGGATAATCTTATTGATTTTATCTCTTGAAGGTGACTTCAGCAGAGTTGTTTTATTATTTTTAAAAATTTTTATTGATACACTTGTACATATTTTTGGGGTACATGTGATATTTTGATACCTTTATATGATTTGTGATCAAGTGGGGGTAATTGGGATATCCATCACCTCAAACATTTACCTTTATGTTGGTAACATTACAGATTTTCTCTTCTAGCTACTTTGAGATATGCAATAAATTATTAACTATAATTTCCCACTGTATTATTAAAGTGGAAGTGAAGTCAGTTTAGAATGGTATGAAAAGTGAGTGGGAAGGAAGAGAATGGTGATGCCTAGTGAGGCAGATCTTTTTTTTTTTTTTTTTTTTTGAGGCGGCATTCTCTCTCTTTCGCCCAGGCTGGAGTGAAGTGGTACAATCTAGGCTCTCTGCAACCTCCAACCCCCGGCTTCAAGCGATTCTCCTGCCTCAGCCTCCTGAGTAGCTGGAATTACAGGCACCCACTACCATGCCTAGCAAATTGTTTTTTTTTTTTTTTTTTTCTTTTTTTTTTTTTAGACAGAGTCTCGCTTTGTCACCAGGCACCAGGCTGGAGTGCAGTGGCACAATCTCAGCTCACTGCAACCTCTGCCTCCCAGGTTCAAGCAGTTCTCCTGCCTCAGCCTCCCAAGTAGGTGAGACTACAGGCACATGCTACTACGCCCAGCTAATTTTTACATTTTTAGTAGAGACGGGGTTTAGTAGAGACCATGTTGGCCAGGATGGTCTCAATCTCTTGACCTTGTGAGCTGCCCACCTTGGCCTCTCAGAGTGCTGGGATTACAGGCATGAGCCACTGCGCCCGGCCCAAATTTTTGTGTTTTTAGTAGAGATGGGGCTTCACCATGTTGGCCATACTGGCCTCGAACTCCTGACCTCAGGCGATCCTCCTGCCTCAGCCTCCCAAAGTTCTGAGATTACAGGTGTGAGCCACTGCACCTGGCCGAGGCAGCTCTTAAGATGTTTGGTCAAGCAGGCAAGAGAGACTGAGGCCAATAGCTGCAAAGAAAAATGAAGTAAAGGGGTTTTTTTCTTAATTAATATATATTTTTTTCTTTTAAGGTAGAAGGGTTCAACACCCTTAAATGTTTATGGTAAGGATCTGGGAGAGAGCAAAAAGGGTATAATCCTATACACGTGGACTTAGTATAAAACTCAGGACATGCAAAAACATATTTAAAAATTGTAACGATATTTATGGCTCTATGTATTAAGTCTGCATATAGTCACATTAGGACATTTTAGTATGCAGACTTTATTATGTAGCTTATTTGTGTTCTTTGTGAACTAAATTGGTGACTTAAAAAAATTTTTTTTTAAATTTCTAAAAAATTTCAATACATCTAGAACATTTTGTCAATAACTACAGTGTTTTTTTGGGACAAAAATGATTTTTGCAGTAAAGACTTAACAAAAACAAAAAGACTTTACTTATTAAAAAGACCAAGTGGTTAAATAAATGATAAAGTATAATCTGGAGGAAATGCAGTATTAAAATACAATGTCAGAATTCTTGGAAAAATGAATAATTTTCATTATATGATAAAGTTAAGACTATTTTTTACTTTGAATTTTTAATAGTAACAGATAAGAATGAAATAAAAGCAAGTTAATTGGTTTTAGGAAGTCCCTAGGAAATAATCGATGTTAAAAAAAATAATAACCACAAATTCCATCAAAGCAGAATGGTAACAGAAAATTGAGATGTACTTAAAAGAATGCACAGAAGCCTGGACTAAAGTATAATCACACGATCCTTGTCCCATATACGAGAGTTAAGACCCACAATTCTTAAGTCACTAACTCAGTAATTTACAGTTAATTATATTGCACATGTCCAAACTAGAAACTGGGTACTCTTCTCACCAGAAAATTCTGCTGTATAGTACCATAGAGAACATTAGAGCAGTGAGACTGAGACCAGAGTAATTAGCAATAAAGATTAAAATTTGCTCAATTCAACTAGCTTTATAAACTTGTAGCAGATTTTAGAAAGATAAAATAACCACATGATACCTCTGGCATTCATATGGCAAACCTTGAAATAAATGTTAGTGAACAATGTAGTGGGCCTGGTGTCAGAAAACTGAGTTTTAACCCTGTAGCTGCCACTGATTTAACTTTGTGACCCTGGACAAGACACTAACCGTTACCTTCTTTTTATACCTTTTTGGGGCTTTGTTTGTTTGTTTCTTTGTTTGTTTCTTTGTTTGTAGAGACAGTATCTCGCTGTGTTGTCCTGGCTGGTCTTGACCTCCTGGGAGCAATGACCCTCTTGCCTTGGCCTCCCAAAGTGCTGGGATTTCAGCCATGAGCCACCATGCTTCACTAATGCTGTTTTGTCTTTATCAATACAATGATAGGTTTGGAGTCAGAGGTGTGAAAAAACTCATGTTTATTGGGCACCAACTATGTGGCAGGTAGTGTCATTTTCTTAACATTTCTTATTTAATATGTAGCATGCTATAAGGCTGCCTGTGTCAGACTCATTTTACAGTTTAGCTTAGGTAACGACAGTTATTACCTCGCTTATAAGTAATGGAGGTAGAATTCCAGCTCAAGTCTACTGACCCCAAAACTTTTTTGGGGTCAGTAGACTTGAGCTGGAATTTTTTGCACAGCATCAGTGTTCCAAACCTCATTTTTGTACAGCTTTAACAGCTGTCACCCTATAAGTGTCACGACTACTGTGATTTACTAGAGATTTTTCTTTAAATCTGTATTCATGTATTTTACTTACATTTATTTTAGAAGGAAACTGCTTGATAAACAAGAGCAAAACTAAGCATAAAATGGGTATGAGGGTCTGAAAAGGTAAGGCACTCTTTCTTCCTTCCGTGAAAGGTAGTAGGGTGGATATGTATGAAATATAGGAGGGACCAAGGGCCCAGGGAGAGGGAATCTCTTGGAGTTAGAAGCCAGAGCCTGGAAATGCCATAACTTCAAAGAATTGTGCTTGAGATTGGCAATTTGATCCAATCTGATTGAGAACTTCATATCACAGACAAAGTGTGAAGAGAGAGAAGCAGCTGGATTTGATTTAAAAGAGAAAACTGGAGGTGGCGACAGAATTGAGCTAGGAATGGAACTTGGGTTATAGAAGGGCCTGAGACTGAGGATAGAACATTCCCTGGGAGTGAGGAGAAGGTTAGTGCCTAAAGGAAGGACATAGGATAGGGATTGGGAAGTATGGAAGAATCACAGGGGTTGGAAGTTTACATTAAAGTGGGACACAGTGGTCAGGACTTCTGGAAATAGATGTGTGAAGGTGAAGGCTGAAGTCCAGGAGGGGCCAGTGGGACAAGTTTAGAGAAGGACCAGTGAAGTGGGCTCAGAAATGAAGCTTTAGAGATGGGTGCATCTGAGTTTGGGATGGTAATTTTTGAGTTACGGGCATGAGAGAAGGGCAACCAACCATGACTCCCTCCTGGATTAAGCCCACACTTTTTCTTCTGAAACTGGACTACAGATGTGACAATCTGATCCGTTTCTGTAAGGGAAGACTGTGTATGTGCACTGTCTGAAGTCACCTCATGGAAATGCAGTAGTGTGCATACCATCCTTTTGCGAAATGTAGCTTTTTCTAGACTGGATTCATCTGTGCCTTCCTAGTCTGGACTCTCCTTTGATCCATTTTTTTTTTTTTTAACATATATAGAAGTGTCATATGTTGCTTATTTAACAACAGCATAAAGTTTTCTTTTTCTAATTTGTTTAAGTAATAGTTAGATCTCGTATATTTTGGACTTGCCTTGTCTTTCAGCTCTGAACTAAAATGGGACTCGGCTAACTTTAGGATAGGGGGTTTAAGATGCTTTTTTAAAGGGAATGATTGACTAGAGCCTTGTTGCTGCAGGACTTTTTGGTTAGAGGAATCCCAGCTTCATGTCAGCCATCATCTTCTAACTCAGTATTCTGAGCTTAACTCACTTTTGTCTGTATTTCTTTTCACAGCGTCTTTACTTTCTGCTTTCTCTTTCTACCTAGAAGATCACCCTGATTTTGTTTTTGTTGTCGTTTTTAACCTAGCTCTACATTATGAGACTGCCACAGTGATTGTGCTTTGGTTTCATTTATGCCTTATGGACTTTCATTTTCTTTGCTCTTGGTGTTTTGCTGGCTACCTTCTAAAATGAATAATCTTGAATATGTAAAATGGTTATACTCTAGTAGCAATTTATGCCAATAAAATACAAAGAACACTACTTATATTTAGAGATTCTGTCCACCTTGGAGGAATGCATTCTGGTGATGTACATGTATACATAAATACACATTCACACATACAAGCACCTACGTTTACTCATGTGGTTAATATTTTTATCTGTATATACATATATATTTGACCTAGGAGGATAATATTTTTTCTGTGTATACGTATATATTTGACCTAGGATTGTATAGTATATCTATCTGGGTGCAGAAACCTATCTACCTTTCAGTGGAGATAATCTATTCTTGATTAACTTTTGTGCTCAAGGACTCAGGGGAGTATAGTAGTAAAACTGTGTGCCCTTTTTATTTGCTGATCTCTCTGCATTTTGTTTCAATTTCTGTTTTTTTTTTTTTTTTTTTTTTTTTTCTCGTGTGTGTGTTTTTTTTTTTCACTAGTAAGCTGATTCTGAAGAGTTTAAAGGAAGTAATTTTAATTGAAGGAGTTAGGGCTTTTTCCTTACACTTTCCCAGTCCACCAGGACTTGTCATCTTTGATTCCCTACAGTTGGTAACATCTTAACAAATGGCCGTAGTATAATAATAAACATGTATAATTTTCTTCTGTGTCTGGAGGGCCTAGAAGAGCTCATGCCTTTTATATGGGGGAGTGTTATTTTCCTCATAAACAGTTATCTGGGCTAGATGTCAGGATAGATCTAGGTTCCATGCTCTCAGATTTTTCACTGTAAAGTAAGGAAGTTTGAAATATTAGAACTTATCTTAAGTTCCTTTCTAGCTCTAATTTTTTTTTTTTTTGTCCAAGTTTTGCTCTTGTTGCCCAGGCTGGAGTGCAGTGGTGTGATCTTGGCTCACTGCAACCTCTGCCTCCTGTGTTTAAGCGATTCTTGAGCCTCAGATTCCCAAATAGCTGGGACTACAGGCACGCGCCACCACACCTGGCTAGTTTTGTATTTTTAGTAGAGACAGGGTTTCACCATGTTGGCCAGGATGGTCTCGAACTCCTGACCTCAAGTGATCCCATGCCTCGGCCTCCCAAAGTGCTGGGATTACAGGCATGAACCACCGCTTAGGGCCTAGTTCTAAAATTTATGAGAATATGGGTCCCTGAAATTCTTAGTTGATAGACAGCACAGCCAGTGCTCAAAATGTGCTATCCATAAATGTCACTCAGAAGCATATTAAGTTTGCATTAATCTTTTTTCTACCTATCAACTTTTAAAATTCAGTGTTCAGTGTCATTTTTAACTTGGTGGTTGTTTCATCTTGTTACTTTGGAAACCACAGTATGTATTTTATTTTCTTTTTGCATTTTGAAGGAATAATAGAAATAGAGAACTCTAAGGAGATGGAAGCTTCGTTTGTAATTATGTCAAAAATTCTTTTCATTGGAGAACACAATGTACCAGCGAGTTAAAGCCTACTTACTATTAGTTTCTTTAAAACATAAAAAATGAGCTTTATTGAGATAATTGACAAATTTAAATATATATGTAGTTAAGGTATACAGCTTGATATTTTGGTGTATATATTTTGATGTATGTATATATTGTAAAATAATCACGATAGTCAAGCTACTTAACATAGACTTCACCTTACATAACATTTTCTTTTAATTTTTTTTCTTTTTTTTTGTGTTGAGAACATTTAATAAGATCTATTCTCTCAGCAAATTTCAAGTGTATAGTACAATATTGTTAACTCTAGACACATTGCTGTACATTAGATATTCAGAACTTACTCATCTTGCGTAACTGGAATTGTGTACCTTTTGACCAGTGTCTCCCCATTTCCCCCTTGTCTCAACCCCTGACAACTACTGTTTTACTCTCTGCTTCTATTTGTATTTCCTACGAGTTTTTGTGGGAAGGTGATGTATTATTTTCCTGGGGCTACCATAACCAAGTACCACAAATTGGGTGACTTTGAACATAAATTTATTGTCTCACAAATCTAGAGGCTCGTTCTCCATTACAAGGTGTGGATAGGGCCGTGCTCCCTCTGAAACCTGTAGGGGGAACATCCTTCCTTGTCTGTAATAGCTTGTGATTTTGACATTACTCTACATTGTCACATGGCTGCCTTCTTCCTGAGTATTACCTGTCTCCACTTCTTGTAAGGACATAAGCCATAAAGATTAAGGGCTACCATACTCCAGTATAACCTCATCTTCACTAATTACATCTGCAGTGACACCTGTTTCCAAATATGCTCACATTTTGAGATACTGGGGGTAGGACTTCATCATTATCTTTTAGGGGCATACAATTCAAGCTGTAACAGTTGATGAAAATATTTTGATCTTAAATAATAATAATAAAACTAGAATTATTTCCTTTCTTTTAAATTTGTTGTCATTTCAATAATGCCACTACCACTTTTCTATCTGCTGAGCAAATGTTATTAAATACTTCTTTGTTTCTTGTGTCTAAGATTAAATAAAACTTAATGTAAAAATATAATCTTCCCAAATATATGATCTCCAGCATCACAGAAATAAGGATTTTTTTTTTTTTTTTTTTTTTTTTTAGCTTAGGTAATATATCTTGAACTGTAGTAATTCAAATCTAGTAACTTCAAAGATAGAATTTTCTGGTATGTTATATTGCTTCACATCAACTCTATTAATAAAAGTAGAATAGATGCCAAGGAACTTTTGTGATCTCTTGGCCAGGACAGACAACTTAAAAAGTTGTAAATAAAGGTTTTTAGAATTCACTATAAGCCTTTCATGTGGCTTTTGTTTGTCATATGGGGATAGGTTCTGGAATGAAAGTTGGAAATATTCTCAAGAAGTAAAAAACACCAAATAATTTTTAGGGGCACGAGTCGTTTGAGGTAAGTTTAGGATTAGGCTGGGTCTTGATGTTATCCAGAAATCAGACTACTTTGCACAATTATACTTGTATTCCTAATCATATCCACTACCCTGCTCTCCTAAATAGACCACAGAAACCTTGTGCTTAATAGCATGTAAAACAGTGAAGTGTCTTGCTTTCTAGAAATGCTTTTATTTTTATTACCACTATGCAAATAAATGTAATTTTCACATTGTCATAACATTCATTTTGTCATTGAAGATATTACTTATTTTTTTCCCTGACACTTCATGTTAAAATAAATTTAGCTTTGTTAGGTAAGATAACTTTGATACTTTCTTTTCATATTTATTGTGAAAACAGGTAGAATTGCCTGGGATACATGACATTTAAGGGTATTCTTTTAAAAGAGTTGCCTAAGTTGTTAATAGTTGTTAACCATAAGTGTTAAATACCACACTTTTTTTCTACATTTAAGTGACCATTGTCCTGTGTTACTAGACTTGTCTTGGAAATGAGGGACATATAGTGCCATTATATTAATTTGTATTTGAATCATATCATTGGCTATTAATAAACTCCTGCAGTCACATCTACATATATTAGCAGTGAAGAATCATTTTAGTGACAATTTGTTAGAGAAAAAAAAGTCTGAGTTCATAACCTAGTCTTCTATAAAAACAATTCTAATGTCAGTGTATAGCCCTTTTTTGTTTTTAAAACTCTCTAAGATAGTTTTAGTTTATATGGAAGCAATTTTCTAAAGAACAGGTGATGGATTTATGGAAATTTGCACATAAACATGTAATTACATTTTGTCTAAAAAGTGTAAAAATATTTCTTAATGTTGTTCAAAAAATATGTTAAATTCTGAATAATACCATGAAGCAATTTGATCTCATTTGCAGGGTCAACAGAGCAGTTAATACAATGACAGTAGATCCAGGGAGGCTTTTGCTATAGAATCAAATGTGTTGAGATAATGAATACTTAAATAGTTTTAATTAAAACAGCAGGAAAAGCTGAAAAAAACAATCCTTTGGAAGATTAAGTTAAATTTTGAAAATAATGATTGAAGCTAATACTTTAAGTTGTTTAGTATAGCGAATATAGATTGCATATTCTATAGATTGTCTTGGCATTTTCTTGTAATCTGATTTTTTTTTTCAATTTCAGAAGATAATGAATAAAATGTTGATAACTCTTTGAGTTCCATTCTCTTAAAAAAAAACTGTAGTCTCTCATAGACCATTTTGATTCCTGCTGGCTTCTCTATCTTGTTTGTCTGAAGGTAGAGCAGAGACACCTCTGTGTATTGAATTTTCTGTCAGCTAGTTCTTAGATCTTTCAACTGGTTTTTAAAAAAATAATCCTTGATATATGATTTCCAAAGGCTGAGGAAACAAAGTGAGAGAGGGGTGAAAGCAGTATATAATGGGGATTAGCTGGAGATTAAGGTTCTTCAAGTTTCAATAATGTCATTAATTTAAATATTTGACTCTGGCCCTTTTGTGTATGAGATTTGTTCCACCATTATAGATTTCATTATTTCAACTGGACTGCCTGAATACAACATTCCTGTCAGTATGATTATGTTTAATTCACACATGCCAATGGCAATATTACATCTATTGAACATGTATCATCAGTAAACTTGTATTAGTTAATGATTGGTATTCATTTCCAATTTGATTATTGTGCATATAATACTTTGTGTAATTTCTATGGTGATTATAAAGATGTGATTTGTAACCAGCTACTCAGACAATTTGTGTTACATTTTTTTTTAACGTGGATTTTATCAGCTAGAAATGTCTCTTCATAAAGGTAAATATTAGTAAAAAAATTTGTGCAGAGAATTGCGCAGAGTATCTTATTTATTTTTCTAATGTATTCTAATCTAAATTATTTATTCTATTAGGAATATTCTTAATGATCTTTATTAAAAATTTACTTAGTTTCTTAAATTATCTGTACCTATTGTTAAAATGTAGTCTATAGCCTTTTAAATAAAGGGTCTCTATTTTATAACTTAAGCGAATTTCGGATTTGTAACGTATGTATCTAAGTATATTTATGTGTCTGCATATGTGCATAAATTAAATCTTTGACTAAAAGATGGACCACAACAAGAAGTATGGGAAAGTGTTATAGTTACAATATCCCACTTTTTGCTTTTCTGTGTAAGGGACTTGGTAGCTGCATCATGGCCATGCAAACCTCTTGTTTTAAATGAGAGACATAGTTAACCATAAGTAAAAATGCTAAATAAATTTGAAATAGGAACTATTTGACACATTAAATAATATCTTACCAGGAATTCTTAGATGTGAAGTTATTTAATTCTTGAGACTTAAAAATATAATAATTTATTTATGGGTAGAGTTTTTTAAAAATTTGTCTTTCGAGCATTATGGAGACTGGAAAATTTGTGTGTTTTTTATTTGAAGGTCCTTTTTTTTTTTTTTTTTTTTTTTTTTTTGAGACGGGTTTTCACTAATGTTACCCAGGCTGGAGTGCAATGGCGCGATCTCGGCTCACCGCAACCTCCGCCTCCTGGGTTCAGGCAATTCTCCTGCCTCAGCCTCCTGAGTAGTTGGGATTACAGGCACGCACCACCATGCCCAGCTAATCGTTTGTATTTTTAGTAGAGACGGGGTTTCACCATGAAAGTCCTTAAAAAACAGTATGTAATTGTGAGAAGCAAGAGTGCTGCAGCATGTTGAATCTTTTAAAGATCTTTGCGAGTAATAGAAAAGCCCAAATTCTCTGCTAGTGTCATTTTTAAAATCAAGTATTGACAGTGAGTATAGCCAGCTGTCACTCTAACATTGGTAGAACTCTATTTTCCTAGTCATTTGATTGTACAGAAAAAGTATATCCTTTTATTACACAAGTATACTTTTATCATCAATCATGTACTGCATAATGCATAGAAAGGAGTATGTATAACATCTTGTAAAGCATAACAGTAACATACATACTGATGATTTCTCACCTAGCTTAAAAACTAGAAGGTATTACTGAATCTCTGTATATGTTATCTGTCCCTATTCAGTCACCCTATTTCCCTTCACTCAGATGTGATCATTATTCTAAGATGTTTTCATTCATTTCCTTCTTATAAAAATAATAGTTTCTGAATGTATTACTAAACGGTATATATTGTTTAATTTTGAACATTATATATGACCTAATGTAATTATATATTAATGTAATTATTATGTAATTATACTTTTTTCTCTGAAATCTTGTTTTAAGATTTATTTGAGTCTAGGCATGTAGCTATAGTTAAATGTCATTGCTTTATATGATTTTATTATGTGGATATACTTGGATGCATTGTAGTAGGATATGTTGGCTGTTCCATGTTTGTTTTGATTTTTTGTCGTTATGAACAATTCTGTGAAGATTATTGAACATGTGCTCTAGTATATGTGAGTAAATTCTTTCATTGTATATCTAAGAGTGGAATAGATGAGTCTCACAGAGTATGTGCATATTCAACCGTGCAAGATAATGCCAAATTGGTGATGCACTGATACACATTTCCACCAGCAAAGTGCAGTAGTTCTTTTTGCTCTACATGTTTATCAACTCTGACAATTTTCAGACTTCTTGATTTTTCCTAATCTATGTGTATAAAAATAGTATCTCATCATGGTTTTAATTTGCATTTTCCTGAGGCTGAACATTTTTTATGTTTATCTTGCATTCTTGTTTCTGTGAAATGCTTATTTTTTGTTATTTGTTCTCCCCCCTTCCCTGATTTTGTTTTATTAGGAATTTTTATGTATTGCGGACACAGTTGCCTTTTGTTTATAGATGTTGGAAAAATTTTGTCTCTGTTAATGACTTGGTTCTTTTTTTTGGTATATTAGTGAAAACTGAATTTAAATGGTAGTTAAATGTATCAGTTTCTTATATGATTAGCACTTTTTGTGTCATGGTTAAGAAATTATTCTTTGCCCCAAGCTCTTAAGGATAATACCTCTATTTTGTTTTCAGCGGCTTGCCCTTCATGTTTATTTCAAATCTATTTGGAATTGATTCTTTGAACAGCGTAAGGTAGTTTTCTCCATATGGATAACTGTGTTTTAGTAACTTTTTGAATAGTCCAGTGGCTGGAGTGCCATCTGTCATTTCATGATTCTGTTTTTGCCTGGTTCTGTGTTGGGCTCTTCCGTTGTGTTCATCAAGTTGTCCATCTCTGCACAAATACTGTATGATAGTTTCATTTACTATAATTCTGATGAGTCTTTGATATCTAGTAGGACAAGGATCTGTATTTTTATTAGGAGCTGCTTGACTCATTCATATAAAATTATAATCAGCTTATCAAATTCCTTGAAAAGTATTCTTGTGGCTTCAATTAGAATTTATTGAATTTGAGAAATTAGAAGTGGAATTCTTAAAAATGTTGGATATTCTTTTCCATGAATATAATATATCAGCCCCATTTATTTAGGATTTCTTTAATTCTGATTTTGCTTTCTAATTTTCTATATACAAGTATTGTACATCTTTTGCCAGGTTTATTTCTAGGTGTTTAATATTTTTGATGCTATTGTAAATTTTATCATCTAAAAACTTCAGTTTTTAAAAATTATGTTTTGTCATATCTAAAAACCTCGTATAAATGTTCTTTTTAATTCTTATAATTTGCTTATACATTCTTTGATTTTTATATGTAGACAATTATTCTGTCTTCTTTTTTTTTTAGTTCTGTTTCTTTCTTTACTATACTGTCCAGAACAGCCACCAAGACATAATTGAGCTTCCTTTCTTGTTCCGCATTTTAAATGGAGTGGTATAAACTTGTCATCCTTTATTGATGTTTGGTGTGGGTGTTTGAAGAAGTACTCTTTATCAGTTAATTTAGTCACTTTCTTTTTCTATTTTTCCAAGAGAGTATTTTGGTTGTCTTTGTTGGTAGTGATGGCCTTATGTAAAGTCTTGTTTGGGCATTTAATTTTAACAAATACTTTATCTACTAAGGAAATAATCATTTGGTTTTGCTTTACCCTATTAATATGACAAATTGAATGTGTATATTTTTCTAATGTCAGACTAACTTTGCATTTCCAGTTTGGTAATATATATTACCCTTTTTAAATACGAACACTCTTGGATGTGATTTTTTGCTAAGAGTCTTACATAAATGTTCATGACTTGAGATTGGCTTCTAATTTTTTTCTGACACCTGATTAGCCTGTTTTAAATATTGGCTTCAGAGGAAAAAAAATTTATTTTTTATTTTTGATTCTCACAAGAGTTTTAAGAGTGGAATGGTCTCTTATGTGAAATTTGATAGATGTCTCCAATAAAACTATTTGGACCTGGTGGTTTTGCATTTGGTATAAGGTAAGGAAAAGATAGAAATTAACTACCAGTCTATTTCTATGTTGTATAACCAGTATTCACAGTCTGTTCCTTTTAGTCAGTTAAATTTTTCTAGGAATTCGAGCGTTTGTTTATTT